GCAGGGGCACCCAATCTATTTTTAAAGCCTTCCCCAAGTCTCAACCACATGCTCCTTCCTTAGCATGCTTACTGTTACATATCACTCTTCATCCTTTGCAAGACACCGAAGCTCCATGAAAGATGTCAGGCCCTGTCTCCTCTTTTCCATCACAAAATAATGTTTTGTTTTATTTTGTTTTTTAAACCAAAACATTTTCTTGAAGACAGTATGTGTGCCTTAAATGTTTCCTGGGTATTGCTGCTTTCTGATGATGAGTCTGTGTGCTATCCTACTCATTGGACTGGCAACAGTTCAAGGGAAGGGGGTTTGCGCTTCTTAGCCCCATGCCCCTGAGGCCTGGCCTACAGAAGGCAATGGCAAGCATTTGTTGGAGGAATTAAAACAAAAACAAATCAACAAGTACTGCTCTGCAAGTCGGAGCAGTGGAGGCAACAGAAAACCCAGAGCCCCCATTCTGAGGCTGAGGAATTTATTAGTGTATGCTGTGGCGAATGAATGAAGATGTTATCCTCGAATATGAGTCAGTAAGTGGCTAGCCACAATTCTCTAAGCCCGAATTTAAGGCTAATTAAAAGATAACTGAGCAAGATTCTGGAGTTTAATTGACTCTAGACAGAACTATTGATTTCTTGCCAAAACCCGTTTCTCCCCACTTCTTCCCCACCTCTTTAAATGGCACCATTGTTCAACCAGTAACCCAAGCTAGAAACCCCACATTCCACCCTCAGAGCCTCGCTGTGCCCAAGCCCTCAGCAGGGTCCCTGGCCCCTCATGTGGCACATGGAACCCCCACGCCTTCCATCTGTGGTGCAGTCACTGTGGTCCAGATACTATCCATGTGGGCCTCAGCTGGCCCTAATGTAGCATCTTCCCACAAACCCCTCACTCCTCTCACACACCACAAGAAACTAAAGGGATCTCTGAAAAACTCCTAGGGTCTGCCAGCAAACACGCAGTGGATCTACGCTCTATGCGGTGGCACTCTGAGACCTCCTGAGACCTCACCAGCCGTATGTGGGTCTCAACTGATGCCATGTCCCCATGCTTCAGGTCCCTCCGGCCACAAAGCTCACATCATCCTTTCAGGGTCCTTGTGCTTGCTGTGTCCCCCTGTCCTCCACCTAGATGTTTCTTCTAGGATTGCCAGGTAGCCAGCTGCTCTTTGGCGTCTGAGACTCAAAGGATCCTACACTTCAGTCTCATGGGTCTCTTGCTGTTACGTCGTTGGAAGTTGCTTCCATCACTACACTTGTTGCTCTCTGAAATTATCTCACCACTTTTACATGCTTATCGTTGGTCTCCTCCAGTGACAACATTTTCATGTTTTGCACCTATCACAGACTTTTTAAATTTTTACTTATTTTCTGTTCTTTCATCTGGTTCAGAAAGGTTGTCCCCCCACCCCCTATCATTAAGCACTGTACCTTCTTAACAAATACTTTTTTGATTGAATAAATGAACTCCTATGTTCCTCTAGAGCAAACAGCATGAGAAGGAACGTGACCACGGTGCCAGTCATCACTAGTAGGAACATAAAATGCAGAGGAGCATATACAGTCAGCATGCGCTGGTCCCAACCACATATCTGCACTTGGTTCTGGGGACCCCCACTGTCATGAGCACCAGCAATGTAAAGAGGAATCCAACAAATGAGTCAGTTAAGGTGGAAAAGAGAACCAAGGGTATTCAGCATGCAAAATAAAAACAAAAGAAAACAAAAGTCCTGAGGGATCATCTGCCATCCTTTACCATCTAAAGCATCACAGAGAGAATAGATTAATTCTGGAGTTCCCCCAAAAGGGAATGCAGGTCACTTAGTTTGAAGGGAAGAGATTTCAGCTGTAGGGGATTCAGGCCCCTTTGAGAGAGCTCACAGCTTCAGATTTCTCCATCAGAGAGGTATGATGAGTACTTGACAAGGTCAGCAAGGAAATGACTCAAGAAATTCAGGCTGGCCTCCAAGAGTTCATGTCCAGGTTTCCATGACATGTAGGGACAGGGTCAAAAATTTTTTTTTTCTGGGGACTGGAGACATGGCTCAGTAGTTTAAGAGCGCAGAGTACTTTTCCAGAAGACCCAGCTGCAATTTTTTCCAATACCCATATGGCAGCTCACAACAGTCTGCAACTTCAGACTGAGGGGATCCTATGACCTCTTCTGGCCTCTGTGGACACTAGGCACACATGTGGTACACACACACACGCACACATACTTTTAAAAAAAATCTTTAAAATTTATGAATTACAAGATCCAAAACCTTAGCTATCCTGCAAAGAGATACCACCAAATCCATCTCTACGGACTAGGCAGGAAAAAGAACAGTAGGCAGCTTTCTCATGGCCTGAACACACAAGGCGCTGTGGCGTGCTCTCTGGTTTTAAAGTCTGTCTGTGATCACTCAGAGCATGGGGTAAACTGACTGCAAAGAGATGTCTCACGTTGTAGGGGAAGATGGCCAACCTGGTTACAGCTGGGCCAAGATGGTCCAGTACTTCATTTCTGAAATTCTACCCTTTTCTTAGGAGTAGAACCTCAGACCTCAGGCCGAGGAACTAATTCAAACCTCAGCCTACTCCCCTGTAACATCTTGGGAGGCTGTGAGTTTGAGTTCATCCTAGGATGTATAATGAATGAGTCCCAGGCCAGTCTGGGCTGCATCGTGAGACCTTGTCTTATGAAAACAAACAAATAAATGAGAGTGAATTTCTCTTAAAAGGAGGGAGAGGAGCAATTGAAATTGGAATGGCACAGTTTGATAATTATGGAAATTTAGGTCTATATGCACATGGACTCTCACTTTCCTAATTTATATTTTGAGTTTGCAAGTAGTGAAAGTAAAAAAAAACAAAAAAAAACAGCAGAGTTTACAGAAATTATAATTGTCATTATTAGAGGGAATCTGTCAATCCTAATTGCTAGCAGAACCACTGGACAATCCTGATTTGTCACCTCCTGCCGCCCCTCCCATCAGCCCCATTTGGCAGATGAGGAAACCAAAGCTGGGATCAATCACACAGTCACGGGTTCTGCAGTCAGCATGGGGCTGAGCCTGGTTATCTGCCTGCAGCAGCGAGGCTGGCTTTCATTTCAAGAGCTCCTTGTGTTCCACGGGGTGGATGGCTAAACAATTATGATGTGGTTTATTCATCGGAGTCAATGGATTCCCGGGTCTCTGCTCAGTCTCAAAACTCTGTCAAATGCAACCATACTCAGAACTCCGGTTAGTAAAATTGACAAAAGCTTGAACAGCTCGGGTTGAAGCATATGGGGTCAGGGAGAAGGAGACCAGCCCTGTGAACAGCCTGCTTGACTCCAGGGTGGCCATCTGAAGGACCCTCTTGGTGCACAACATGAAAACCCTAGATGAAAGCCAACAGGGGTAACCCTCCCACCCCCAAACTCAATGAATTACACATTAAGGCAGCCTTGTTTGTATAATTCATCTTTCACTTTTTTTGTTTCCCATCACATTCGACCCTCGTTATCGACTCAGGCAGACAAGGCAGGGTGCATCATCCTTAATTTTCAGATGAGGAAATCAAGGCCAAATGGAGTGAAGCAACCGGCCAAAGGTAGGCCAGTTCAATTTCCGGCCAAGTGAAGACTGGAAGTAGAGTCTGTCTCCATGAATTCGGTATGACCTGGCAGAGAAGGGGCTGTCTACTGGAAATTGCTGCTGACCTTTGATCCAGAAAGTGGACGATCAGCTCATTGGCCACTGGGAGAGCTGAGTACGGACCTAAGGTTCCTCGTGCCAAGGCACTGTCCCAGAGCAGATGGCAAAGGAGTTCAGTGCCACTGAACAGGCTAACGGCAGGATTCTGGCTGTAGGAAGGCCATTTCCCTCAGAGCCGGGTCCTGCTGAGCACAGGGCAGAGAAAGCAGAAGCAACCAGCATGCCTTCCACCTTCATCTGCAACCAGCAAAGGAGCCTGCAAAGGGACTGCAGCAAGCGCAGACCTGAGCCTCAGCTGTACTTTGTTTTCCCACCCAGCTATTGCTTGAAGAGTCCTGAAACCAGAGGCAGCTGACAAATGCCTGAATGGTTCCCCTCACTCCTGAGCGTATCTGAACTGAGTTGGAGCATGTGTTTCGGGGCAGACAACACTTAATTATCACTCAGTCTTTAATTAGCACTTAATTATTAACACTTAATCCATCTGTAAAATGGGGACACTAATACCTGTGTCATAGGGATGCTGGGAGGATTAATTAACACTTGCAGCCCACTTTGAAGATGCAGAGCTTTGAAAGAGTACTCAGCAGTGGCGTTAATCACCACAGCTGATGCTCTTCCTTTCCTAATGAGATCCCCTCTTCCTCTCTGCTCCTTCTCTCCAATAACCAGCCCCGACGATATCTCCTCAGTGTTTCCCTAGTACACAAACACTTAGCTCTGTGTTTCCCAGACATGGGATTTCCCATCCGGGAAACCGGCTATTTACAGCATCTTCCCGCACTTTAATTTTCTATTATGTCCTCTGAATATGTCAATGCCTTCCCAGTAAATATTTTGATGTGTGCTCTTGCAGTAGCTCTGCGGAGGCTAAATGGGACAGCTGCTCTCTGTATTAGGGGATTCCAGATGTGGTTTCCAACCACAAGACTCATCTTGCTAATCCCTGGACTTGTCTTGGGAGACAGGGAGTGATCATCTAGTTGCCTCTGGGGACAGTAATGAGTCACTTAACCCTTTGGCTTGGCGAGAATGCTCTTGCAAGGACCCTAGATCTTCATCTTAGTCTCCTATGCCTTTAGAATGAAAGAAAAAAAAAAGTCTCCTTAGTTGCTGGAAAAGAAGTTGCCAGGAATGGTCTCTTTGCTCGCCTCTGCAACTTCAGGACCGTGGCCAGCTCCACCAAACCACTGAGACTCAGTATTATGGGAATGGAGAAAATCTATATAAGAATTTAACACTGGACACGAGCTTTCAACCCAAACTCAGACTTCATTCTCCCTCCCTCCCTTGACAATCAACCAAACTGGGGACTACTCACTCGTCTTGGAAGCTGACAGTCGCAGTCATGGGGGCAGAGAGTTTCTCCAACGAGGTCCTGGGCTGCAGGGATTCCGGCAAGCCCTGAACTCTCTTCCAGATGTCATGGCAAATCTTGTCGAGGCTATCCTGGGGTGTGTCCTGGTGGATCCAGACATATCTGGGGAATGGCCCCAGGGCGGAGGGACGCTTGGCCACCAGGGCCGAGGATGGAGGGAGACCATTTCCACTGGCCATCCTCTTTCTCTCTTTCCGGAAGCCCCTTTGTCCACCCAGGGCTGGGAGACAAAGGGACTGTCCACCACCAGACCTCATTCACCAGAAATGGAGCTGAAGACTGGGCCTGGGAAGTAGTCAGTTCTGGCCGGCTGTTGCTCCAGCCAAGGGGTGGGTTTCAGAGGCCTTTGGTTTGGGTAGGGATGGGGAGTAGGGGGCAACTTTCTTTTGGGGAGGGGGGGCTTATGTTGACTTGTTTGTATTTGCTCTTTCCTGACTTTTGCCCCCCTCCCCCTCTCCCGTAGAAGAAAATATTTAAAAGTCAACAAAAACCAGTAACTTGGTAACCGTGGAATGGCCCGGAACTCAGGAACCAAGCGCCTGGGCGGGCAGAATGACATCTGGGAAAGGCTGGAGGGGAGGACTGGCTCTCCCCACAGAACCCGGCACTCCCCCGTTTGCGACACCCCTGTGACACTTTTCAGGGCCTGGGACTCAGCCCATTATCGCAGGCCAAACCGCCAGAGGGGCTGGGTAGGGGCGGGGCACTGCTAGTAGACTGGGCCTGGACCGGCCATGGGACTGTGGGTTCCCACCTTCCCAAGGATCCGGTGCACTCCGAGGGCTAAAGGCCCCAGCCCGCCTCAGGTCCTGGCTTTAGCTCTCCCGGCCGCCCCCTTCTGTCCCTCTCTCTCTGCTGCTGCTGTTCTGCCTCCCAGGAAAGATATCTCCAATGCGGTGTTGCTGGCAGTCAGCCTGGCCCAGGTCCCCAGCGGACACCTGTGGCTCCCGGCACCGCAAAGGGTCCCGACCCTTAAAAGGGCGCCGATTGGGCAGGGCAAGCCCGGGCGGGGTCAGCGGATTGGCGTGCCAGTAGCTCCCACACCCCTGCCGTCGAGAGCTGAGATTCTTTCAGTGGGTTCAAGCGCAACGGCTCGGCGGCGGCTGGGTGCGCGGGGTCACGGGCCGGGCGTTCGCACTCAAGGGTCGCAGGTGGGGTGGGGGCGGGGTGCAGTTGGCAAGACCCGGGGAAGCTTCCCCTTAGAAGTAAGTCAAAGTGAAACACCCTGTCTGTATCCAAACTTCAGCTGCTGCGAGGGTGGGGGCGGGGAGTGGCAGAAACCTTTGTTCTCTGATTTCAATCCTAACTGCCTTTCCTAGGCGAGCACTGAATAGCAGGAGCTGAGCTCAAATCTTACCCTGTTCAAGCTCACGAGTTTAGTACCGCTTTTTATTCAGCGCACACGGTGGGAGGAAACTGAGTCTCCAAGTTACAAATAGTTGTGTCCCGAGTTCAAGAAGAGTTCAAGAAGCAAGACCGGAATTCAAAGCTCAGGAGTAAAGCCTGATCTAACGCCCTTTAGCTCCCAAGCAGGCCGCAGCACTAGGACAGTGATGCGGGAGGAGATGGAAAACAAACAAACAACAACAAAGACCTCACTCACTCAGGCTTTATTAGGGACTGGTAGTCCATCGTCCAATCAGTCCCCCTCCCGAGAAAGAGGCTTTTCCTTACAGAAAGCCTGCACAGCACCTTGCCAGGCACTCCCTGGATCCCCAAAGCAGCAGTTACTCCTCCCAGGGTCCACCCAGGGAAACCAGCCGCCGGAAGTGGAGGAAGAGAGACTAGAAGCAGGTAGTCCCAGCCTGGAGAAGCCAGTCACAGTGATCTCCTCGCTTCCCCTGACTCTTCCCCTCCAGAACTCACGGACCCTCCTTCTGTACCAGGTGAGCTTCTGGGCACCGGAGAAGCAAGATGATGGAGAAAGACCTGGTACTCTCCCCACCCCCACCCCTTGGGGCTGTATTCTGAACGAGGGAGGTGTATTATTAACCCAAATAGCCAGAAGCAGAAGCGATGATTACAGATGGGCCAAAGAGCTGCCATTAAAGTAACGGATCGTGAAGAATCTCATTTGTGAGCTGGGCATGGTGGCGTGGACTTGCTCTGTAGACCAGGCTGCCCTCGAACTCACAGAGATCCTCCTGCCTCTGCCTCCCTGAGTGCTGGAAATACAGGCATGTGCCACCATCCCCCCACCTCCCAGCAAACTGCCGGTTCTTAAAGTGTCATTACTGCACAGAAGATTAGTTAAATGTCACTAGCTTGCCTTTGACATGTTTTGGGGGGAGCATCCAACCCCACGGTCCAGATGGAAAACTTACAGGTGTCCAGCCAGACCAGCCTGAGTTGGATAGAGACAGTAGAGATAAGGGAGTGTTCACAGCTCAGGCCTTGGCGGTTCAGGTGGCCAATGGATGGATAGTGGGAATAGGTCCAGGTTCTTTATGTCTTTGTTTTTTTTCCATTTCAAATAGCCCAGGCTGGTCTTGACCTTGTGTTTCTGAACATCCTGCCTCTACTTCCTGTGTTCTGGAATTACACACACACACACACACACACACACACAACCAGGATTGCTTTAAGCAGTCCTGGGGACTGAACCCAGGGTTTTGTGCATGCCAGGCAAGCACTCTACTAAGAGATATATGTTCTAGCCTCACCCTTTAAATTTTTTTATTACATTCGTGTATATGTGTGTGTGTGTGTGTGTGTGTGTGTGTGTGTGTGTCTGTTTGTAGACAACAGAGGTCAGAGGATAATTTGCAGGACTTTGTTTCTTCATCCCATTATTGGAGCCCTGGGGTTCAAATTCTGGTCATCAAAGTTGTTGGTAAACACCTAACCCCACACTAAACCATCCTGCCAGCCTGCCTCTAACCCTTTTATAAACTAACCCGTGTGTGTAAAATACCTGTAATGCCAGCACTGGGGAGGCTAAGGTAGGAGGATCTCAAGTTCCAGGCTAGTCTGAGCTACATAGCGAGTACCATCACATTTCTGGTTCACAGTAGGCGCTCAATAAATACATGTTGGATAAACTAGTGGTATACTGTATAGAGAGTGTCTGGCACGCTGTAGGCACTCACTACACAGCTCTGCTCTTTACAGAGGGGCCGAGTTCCTGGAAATGTTGACTCTGAGTTTTGCAAGCTGAGCTTCATTCCTTTTTGATTTTCATTATGAAATTGAAGATGTGCTCCTTTGGGGAAAATTCCGAGGACCTAGACTGAATAAAATTATAGTTAAGAATGTAGAAAACCTTTTAAGATAGTGTATTTAAAGGAAAAGTGATCACTTCTGATGAAATATTAATAGTTCTGAAAATGTCACTCAGTGTTTGTGCCGCTTGGCATTTGGTTGGCTAACACCCGTGCTTAGAGCCGAGTGCCAAGACCTTGCACTGCCCAGGCCACAGGATTCAGGAAAGCCAGATGCCTCACCCTCTCCCCAGAACCAGGCACTAGGGGGCAGGGAGGAGGGGCTAACCCAGAAAGGACAGAAGGAAAAAATAAAACAAACAAACGGGGATAGGAAACAATGGTAGAGGTGGGTGTCTTTGAGCACAGAGGCTTCTTCAAGATGCTGGAAAGATCCTTAAGTGCTGTCTTTAAAGCTGCATAAAGCCACGTCCCATATGAATGCCACCCATCACACGGGTTGTTGAAATTTTAATTGTATTTTAACATATGTTTAAAAATTCAGTTCCCGGACTGGAAAGTAGATAAAGTACTTGCCCTGGAAGCAGGAGGCCCTGGGTTTAGATTTTCCCAACATCCACGTGAAAGAAGTTAGGCAGCAGATGCCTGTAATCCCAGCACTGAGGAGGTGGAGACTGGAGTGTCCCTGGCATCCTGGATCCTTCACTGTGTGGATCCCCACACAGCTTAGAGCTGTCAGAGAAGAGGGAATCATAACTGAGAACGTGTCTCCATGCAATGAGTCCACAGGCAAGTCTGCAGGAGCTTTTTCTTAATTAGTGATTGATACGGGAGGGTCCAGTCTACCTTTGGTGGTACAACCCCTGGAGGGGAGTTCCTGGGGTGTATGAAAAACCAAACCGAGCAAACCGAGAGGTATATGCCAGTAAACGGCACTTGTCCCTGGCCTCCTGCTCTAGGTTCCTGCCTGGAGTTCCTGCCCTGACATCCTTGGATGATAAGACCACGACACTCAGCTGTAAATTGAAATAACCCTTTTCTCCCTGAGTTGCTTTTAGTTATGGTGTTTTATCACAGCAATAGGAACCCTAACCGAGACCCTGGGCTTGGGGTGTGTGTGTGTGTGTGTGTGTGCGTGTGTGTCCAGCTATTCTAGAGAAATCAGTGAGCTCCACTGTCAGTGAAAGACCTTGTCTAAAAAAGAATTAGAATTCACCTAGAATTGTGAGAATCCTTTCTCCCTTAATTGGCTTTTGTCTGGGTATTTTGTAACAGCAACTAGGTAGAGAAAGGAACTCAGTGTGTTGACCTTTGGCCTCCATACATGCATATACACATATAGGAACATGTCTGAGTGCACAAGCACCCCGCCCCCCGACATATACACCAATAAAATAAAATAAAATAAAATAAAATAAAATAAAATAAAATAAAATAAAATAAAATAAAATAAAATAAAAGGGTTCCTTTCCTGAACTAGGCACATCTCCAGTGCTCAAGAGCCACCTGTGTCTGGAAGTATCATGTTGGAGAGCACGAGGGCATACTGCAAAACACATGGACTCTAGAATCAGATTACTTGGGTTCACATTAAGATTTCATTAGGTTTTGAGTTGTCCGTCACTAGAAACTGAGGTGAGCTGCTGTGTTCTTTAGCATATTGGTTTGTCAGGGTTAGAGAGGTGGCTCAGAGGTTAAGAGCACTGGCCTCTCTTCCAGAGGTTCTGAGTTTGATTCCCAGCAACCACGTGGTGGCTCACAACCATCTATAATGAGACCTGGTGCCCTCTTCTGGTGCGCAGGAGTACATGCAGATAGAGCACACCCATACATAAAATAAATCTTAAAAACAAAAATCAATAAAAGCATATTGGTTTGTCGAGGCTGTCACACTACATGCTTAAAATGCAGAACTTTGCTTCCTAATAGTTCTAGAGGCTAGAAGTTCAGGATACAGAGTCAGCAGAGCTGCCTTCATTCACAAGTTTGATGATCAATTTTAATTGCCATCCTGGCATCATCTAGAACCCCCTGGGAACGATGTGCGGGTGAGGGAGTGTCTACATTAGGGTGGCCTGTGGGCATGGCTGTGGGAG